AAGTTTTATAAATTGAAAACCTTGAATTTTATATTGTTTTATGTTTTCCAACACAGTAAGATCTTTAAATTATAGATCGCTCTGTGGATTCTAAAAAAAATACATAAGACCCTATCAATATCTATTATTGCTCTCTTTCTCTATCTCTCTCTCACACATTCATATACACAATCTATATGTGATTGTGAGGAAAACCAATATAAAAAATAAAGGTAAGCTGGGCATGGTGTCCCAGCCCTGTAATCTCAGAGGCCCAGCATGCTGAGGCAGGAGGATCATGAGTTCAAAGCCAGCCTCAGAATTTTAGCAAGGCGGTAAGCAACTCAGTGAGACTCTTTCTTTAAATAAAATACAAAAACAGGGCTGAGGAGGTGGCTCAGTGGTTAAGCCCCTGTGTCCAATCCCTGTACCAAAATATAAGTAAATAAATAATAAACAAAGGCAAAACTTCAGGTACTCACATCGAAAACACTGTGCATAAATGGCTCGATCTGTTGAATGTTGTTTTTGTTTCCTCCCCAGTAGAAGAAAGAAGCTTCCCCTGCCACAATTCCCAACAGCCTACAGGTTGCTAATAAGGGTCCTGAATTACTCTCTTTTTTAGCTACTTTCAGGTAGAATGCCACATATCTAAGGGTACTCCAGCTCCTTTACAGTCATTTCCTGTCTGACTCCAGGAACTGCAGCAATTCATAAACACAGGAGATTTTAATAACCTCAGTTTTCCTTTGGGCATTAATCCTTCAAGTCAGGAACCTCATTGTGCAAGAGTGCAATTAACTACTTGGTATAATTGGAGCTCAGAAATGAGAAAGTGAGATGAAGAGAAAGAGAGAGAGATTATTATAATTTCCTTTGTAAAATATACTTTGTGGAATAAAAGGTTGATCTGATACCTATGTAGCACATACTTATGTATACATGTTTTTATTTAGTGCTTTTTTATGTGCTAATGTTTTTCTTAGATCATTTATACATTATCTTACTCCACAATACTGCCAGAATTGACCTATTGCAATAACAACTGCAGAAGCTGAGAGAATTAAAGAAACTGATGAAAAGCTAGGCCCAGTAAATTTGGGAACAAGGGCAGCTCCAGGGCCATTAACAGTAGAGTTTTGGGGAGCAGCCTTAGAGCAAGGCTGTGCAATGACTGAGGTTCAATGGTCTCATCCTCTGGAGTCCCTGAAATTAGTGCTCTTGGCTTTTATGAAACTCAACTTAAAATTTAGTACAATGTCCTTGGTTAAGTCACATTCTTGCCCTGTGTTCAGGGTCCAGGATCCAGGGAAACAAATATGGCAGTGCTCAATGGTATGGACAGGGGCTACTGCCTAGACAGACAAGTAGAAAATATGCTGAAGGGCTATTATGAGTTTGAAGCTATTACTTGAAATGTCTGTCTTGTGTATTGAGTGGCATATATTGTGTCTTCCATGTTAATGTTATGAATATTCAATAAATATTGGGTAGAGGGTACCAGACCTAATTCTTCAATGAATATAATTATTCATTTGTTTATTTAGATATACATGAATTCCACTTATTCCAACAAATATCTAGAGTCCAATTTATGCCATATATTAATCACTTGCTAAGAGAGACAGACAAGTGAGCTGTAAAATGGATTAGACATATTCCCTTGGCTCAAGATATGTAAACTATCTCTGGGAGAAACAGCATCGTACAGTCTTATTTAGATCTCAAAATTCTGATGAAATCTACAGGATACGAAAAAGTAAGTAATGAAGATAGTTTTTGTTTGTTTTGATGCTGCTGTTGTTTATATATGCCCCAAATCATGGAAGGAGGTAGCCTTTGGCTTGTTTTTCAGGACTTTTGTCCATGAAGTTTCTGATCAAGATTTAGTGCTTACAGGATGTTTAGGTAGTTACACCACTCTGAAAACATCTCAAATCTAGAATCATTAAAAATTAATAAAATTAAAATTTAAAACATTATTAAAATTAATAATATTTTTCTTACACACTAAACAAATGATAAAAGATAAAAACTAGATACTTTTATCTTTCTTTTTTTTTTTTGCCTTTTAAGTATGATAGAGGGAACTCAGGGCATGGCACATGCTGGGCAGGCACCTTACCTCTGAGACACACCCCCAGTCCAATCCTTGATTATCTTTAAATTTTGTAGCACCATGACTGGCATGAAGAATTATTTTTTATGAATAAAGAGATGATTCATATATTTGTGACGAGCAATCAAAATTTCTTTAAATTTATATTAGCTAAAATTTAGAAAGGCAAATAAAATAGATTATGTTAGATGTTCACTTTAGAACCAAGGTGGCATGTGCTAAATTACTGTGATTGTCACAGTGATAATACATCCACATCCCCAAAGGTCCAATGTTCTCAGTGATGATATTTATTAGTAGTCATTAGAGGGCAAAGGGACAGAAACTGATAAAATAGCAAAAGGTCTCTTATTTGTGCTTATAGTTATCATCTTCCAGAAAGCAACAAGATATTCCAAAATTAACATAAGCAAAAAAGTAAAATTGCAAGTTGTTTTTTATCTGCATTTTTTAGCAAAGTTTTGCTGTTTGTGTCAAATAGATTTTGTATGTGCGTAGAACACATCAAATACTAATTTTTAAGGAATTATTACTATTTAATTGAGAAAATGTAGATATGTTTATGTAGTACAATATGATGTTTTCAATAGGTATATCTTATGAAATGACTAAATCAAGCTAATTAATATATGGATTACCTTTTTTTTTTGTAGTGAAAACACTTAAAATCTACTCTCAACAATTTTAAAGGCTACAATACAATTTTATTAATTCTAGTCATAGTATTGTGCAATAGATCTCTTGAACATGTTTCCCCTGTTTAACTGAAATTTTGTATCCTTTGATCAATATTCCCTTTTAGCAAGCCCCAGTCCTTGATAAACCCCTTTCTAATCTCCACTTCTATGAGTTCAAATTTTTTAAATTCCCCATACCAGAGAAAATGCACAATATTTGTCTTCCTCTGCATAGCTTATAAATAAGATCCCTGAACTACAGAATTTTGAGATACTTGTTCAGGAAAAAAGGAGAAAGATATTCACAAGATCAAAAAAAAAAAAAAAAAAGAAAGAAAGAAAGAAAGAAATAAAGAAAAGAAAAAAATGCAACTGGTAAAGTGCAAAAGCCCAGCATTAGCCTCATCTGATAACATCAGAGCAGATGTTTATTTACTTGAGTTTCTATGTATGACAGTACACTAAAACCAGATTTCAATTCTCTTATCTGGGTGGGCCTCCCACAGATGCCCTCTAGGAATGCTTACAAGGTAGGAATCAACAGAGGAGAGCAACAAATGGGTAGGAGAATAATAAACCCCACTCTGTGGCTTTAGAACATTTTCTTGTAAATGAGTTTAGGCATGATGTAGAAGCAACATAATTACTACTACACCACTGGGTTTTGAAATGACTCTGCTTTTTTTCCTCAAGAGTAATTACTCTGAATGTTTTTCCACTTCAACTTTTTAGATTTTATCATTTTCACTTGACCCCAGTCTGAAATATTCTTTCCTCCCTCTTGAAAACAGCTTTTTAAAAAGTAAATGTTACAAACTCATTGCAAAATAATAAAGAAACACACAAAAATGTAAGTTATTCAAATCCCCACAAATAGGATTACATATTTTAACATTTAGGTGGACATTGTTTCCAATGCCCATTTATACATGGACAATTTGTATTGGGATAAAATAATGTGTAAGTATTCACAACCTCTGTAAGAGATGGTGTGGCTCAGGCCAGGGAGATAGAATACATCTGGGGACAAGTTACAGATGGGAACAACAACAATAGATAGAAATCCCAAGAAGAAATACATGAGAGTTTCAAGAATAGAGGAAGAAAGGAATGCTATAAAAATCAGTCATTTCCAAGCAGAGTGAAGAGATAGATGACAAAGAAGATAACTAAGAGAAAAGTCTTCATTCCCTCCATCTGAGGTATTCCCAGGGGAGTGAACTCATTGAGCACAATGTGATTTGGTGACAATGAGTGTACTGGTATTGTGTCTGTCACAATCACACTCCACCTTCCTATTTTTGTGTTCTTTGGAAAAGTCACATCCTATATAAAGATGCAAATATAGTATATTTAAACATTTCTAATTGTGCAATTTATGAAACCTTAGAGTCACAAAACTAAAATTTTTAATATAACATTTGTGTGTTTTCTGTATTGTAAAAATTTGTATTTAAAAGAGTATTTGTGGCAAGAATACTTAAAATTGATCTACTTTCTTAACAGATTTGTAAGTATACTATACAGTAATGTCAGACACAGAAGAATATGTTCATAGCTGTATCTCTAGAATACCATATTTATTATTGTTTATTTTTTAACAGAATCAAATTTTTAAATGCTCTAAAATGATTGCTTTTGACCAAAACCAGATTTAGGCCATTTTTAATAACCCAAGACAGCAATTGTTACATCAAATTTGTTTTTGGCCAAATGAAAAGAATTTAGATATTTGTTAATATATCATGTGGTCTAATTGTTCATATAGGATAGATAGGGTGGGTATCGAACGTCTTCACACTTGCTTGTAACTGATCATCTTCTACTGCTGGAGTTTAAAACTGTACCTCCTGCCTTTGTAGGACTTCTAATGGTTTCATGATCCCTCTGAAGCATCATTTATAATATATTCTGAAGCAGGAACACTCTGAGCATAAACAATTAAATACTGAATGTTCAGGGAGTTTGGGAATTACAAAATATTGCACAGTCATCAAGTTTCTTTTTCAAGATATTGGATATCAAAAAGCTTTGGAATCCTTCCTGACCATCCCATTTTTCTGTGTTAGGTTCATGTCTCATTGACACCCTTTGTTCTCTATAGATGTCAGGATTTGGCCTGTCTGTTCTGTGATTATTTTGAATTTCAGTTTATTTCCTTACTTCTTGTGGTTCTTGTTTCCCATGGGCCAGAACTTAATCATAAGATGACACTGGATTTAAGAAAGACTGGAAAACTGGAAAATGTTTTATTTTGGAATATCCATAGACTTGGCTTCACTTAGGATACCTACTAATAAGAAAAGAAGGTGAGGATCAATGTTCAAAAATACCTAGCAAGGCCAAAGCACAAGAACAGACTTTCATGTGGAGATTTCTCATCTGAAGTAGCCTCTATTTGTTCTGTAACATACTACACTGATGTATTGAATAAAGGGGTTTCTGTCCACAGGCAGTAGCACATCTTTAATGGTGTCCCATAAAAGTATTATAAAGCTGAAAGATTTCTATTTCCCTGTGGTGTCATACCCATCCTAATGTTATAGCAGGAAGCATCATATGTAATGCTGTATTAATGTACCTATTGTGCTGCCAGTCACATACAAGTAGGGGACAATAAATTATGGGAGCTATATAGTATTTGACAGAGATGATAAATGACTATGTTATTGATTTATACATTTAGCATACTATATTCTTTACCATCGTTTATAGTGTACCATTTTAAAAAAGAAAACCTTACTGTATACCAACAGGAGCCTCATACATCTTATGTTTGATTCATATCTTGATTATATCAAGGGCCCATGTTCTTAATTGACCTGGATTTTTGGTTCTGTGTTAGTATACTTTTGATTACATAATAAAGAAAATACCTAATGAAACATGTTTCAAAACATGTTCCATAGCTGAGCCATGCATGATGGTTTTAGTTTCTTGAAGAACTTTCACTACCAGATATATACTTCTTTGCTTATTTGTTTGTTTATTGTTTTTTTCCTCCATTTACAATATAAGCTCAAAGGGGAGAAGAATTTGTCTTTTTTCCAAATGCCAATGTGCAGAATAGTATCTTCTGTTTTGTATAGAAGCCCAGCAAATATATGTTGAGCTTCCCAAACAAATAATCTTAATCTTATATTAACTATAGCCTTACTTTTAATCTTAATTCTTACCCTTGGACTAGCCTACGAATAAATTTAAAAAGATTTAGAATGAATTGAATATGATAATTAATTTAAAAATAAAACAAGTGATTCAGACTCACTAAATTATGGGTTACCATAATTATCAAAATGCCTATTATTATTCTTAATACTATCTTAGCTTATTCTACATCCCTGCTAGGAATATTCATCTACCGATCCCACTTAATATCATCACTTTTATGTTTAGAGGGTATAATACTGTCAATATTTGTCCTATGCTCCCTCCTAATTATAAATTTCCACTTCTCTTTATCATTCATAATTCCCATCATTTTACTAGTATTTGCTGCATGTGAAGCAGCTGTAGGTCTAGCCCTTCTCGTGATAGTATCTAATACATATGGCCTAGACTACGTCCAAAACCTAAACATTCTTCAATGCTAAAAATTATTATTCCCACAATCCTACTTGTCCCCCTTATATGATTCTCAAAACCCTCAATAATTTGAATTAATCCCTCAATTCATAGTCTGATAATTAGCCTAATTGTTCTCCTCACATTAAATCGTCCTACAAATACAGATCTAATTTTTTCATTAGCCTTCTTTACAGCCTTCTCCCTTATTAATTCTAACAGCATGACTCCTACCCCTTATAATTATAGCAAGTCAAAGTCACCTAACCCAAGAACCATTAATCTGAAAGAAACTATATATTCTTATATTAATCTCACTACAATCCTTTTTAATTATAACTTTCTCTGCCACTGAATTAATCATGTTTTATATCCTATTTGAGGCCACCTTAATCCCTACACTAATTATTATCACTCGATGAGGAAACCAGACTGAACGATTAAATGCAGGATTATATTTTCTATTTTATACCCTGGTAGGTTCTTTACCCTTACTAGTGGCACTAATCTACATTCAAAAATCCACAGGATCTTTAAATTTTATTATTTCAATATATGAGTCATTCGTTCTTCCTATATCCTGAACAAATGATATCCTATGACTAGCATGTATTATAGCTTTTATAGTTAAAATACCTCTACACAGCCTCCACCTTTGATTACCAAAAGCCCATGTCAAAGCTCCCATTGCCGGTTCTATAGTTTTAGCTGCTATTCTATTAAAACTTGGTGGATATGGAATAATTTGAATTTCAACTTTACTACATCCTATCACAGGTAATATAGCATACCCCTTTATTATATTATCATTATGAGGCATAATCATAACAAGCTCAATCTGCTTACGACAAACAGACCTAAAATCTCTCATTGCTTACTCGTCAGTAAGTCATATAGCACTAGTAATTGTAGCAATTATAATTCAAACCCCCTGAAGCTTTATAGGAGCCACAGCACTAATAATTGCCCATGGACTAACATCTTCTATACTATTCTGTCTAGCAAATACTAACTACGAACGAATTCATAGTCGAACTATAACACTAGCCCGAGGCTTACAGTCCATTCTTCCTGTTATAGCAACATGATGAGTTCTAGCTACCCTGACCAATCTAGCTCTTCCCCCTTCTATTAACTTAATTGGTGAACTATTCATTATTATAGCATCATTCACTTGATCAAATATTACAATTATCCTAACTGGCTTAAATATGTTAATTACAGCCCTTTACTCATTATATATACTGATTATAACACAACGAGGAAAACTTACGTATCATACATTAAATGTTAATCCCTCTTTCACAAGAGAAAATACACTTATATTTCTTCATCTTTTTCCACTTGCCATTCTATCGACAAACCCCACCGTTATTCTGGGTCATATACACTGTAAATATAGTTTAAGCAAAACTTTAGATTGTGAATCTAACAATAGAGAATTGTAATCTCTTATTTACCAAGAAAGCATGCAAGAACTGCTAATTCATGCTCCCCGTGATTACACCCAGGGCTTTCTTAACTTTTATAGGATAGTAGAAATCTGTTGGTCTTAGGAACCAAAAAATTGGTACAACTCCAAATAAAAGTAATTAATATATTCTCTTCACTCATCCTTACATCACTTGTAACTCTTTCATTTCCTATTTTCCTTACTGTAACTGACCACTATAAACACACTAATTACCCAAACTACGTAAAAATCTCTTCATTTGTACATTATCACTCTGCATTATACCAACACTAATGTTTATTAACTCAAATTATGAACTCATTATCTCAAATTAACACTGAATGACTATTTAAGCATTCACTCTTTCCATAAGCTTTAAGCTAGATTACTTTTCCATACTATTTATACCTGTAGCATTATTCGTTACATGATCAATTATAGAATTCTCAATATGACATATATACTCTGATCCCTTTATTAACTGATTCTTCAAATATCTCCTCTTATTCCTTATCACTATAATAATTCTAGTTGCATACAACAACCTATTTCAACTATTTATTGGCTGATAAAGGGTAGGTATTATATCTTTTTTATTAATCGGTTGATTATATGTTCGAACAGATGCTCTCCAAGCCATCCTGTACAACCAAATTGGAGATATCGGATTTGTTCTAGCTATAGCATGATTTTTACTCAACTCAAACTCATGAGAACTCCAACAACTCTTCATAATAGATGTATCTCTACTTCCCCTACTAGGACTACGCCAGAGGAAAATCTGCCCAATTCGGCCTTCACCCTTGACTACCTTCTGCCATAGAAGATCCAACCCCTATATCAGCTTTACTTCACTCCAGCACAATAGTAGTAGCAGGAGTTTTCCTCCTTATTCGCTTCTACCCACTAATAGAACACAACAAGACTATCCAAACACTCACTCTCTGTTTAGGAGCTATCACTACTCTATTCACCGCTATCTGTGCCCTAACCCAAAATGATATCAAAACGATTATCGCATTCTCCACTTCAAGCCAATTAGGATTAATAATAGTAATTTATGGAATTAATCAACCCCACTTAGCATTTCTTCATATTTGTACACATGCATTCTTTAAAGCTATAGTATTTATATGCTCAGGATCAATTATTCATAACCTAAACGACAAATGAGACATTCGAAAAATAGGAGGGTTATTTAAAGCCCTTCCATTTACCTCATCTTTACTTATTATTGATAGTCTGGCACTAACAGGAACTCCCTTTTTAACCGGATTCTACTCTAAAGACCTAATTATTGAATCTGCAAACACGTCCTATACCAATGCCTGAGCCCTTACTATCACTCTTCTTGCCACCTCCCTAACTGCTGTCTACAGTACACGAATTATCTTCTATGCCCTAATAGGACAACCTCGATTCTCTACACTAACTTCTATTAATGAAAATTACCCTCAACTACTTAATTCAATTAAACACCTTCTTATTGGCAGCATCATTGCAGGATTTATCCTTTCATTCAATATTCCACCTATAAACGTTTCAGTTCTAACCATACCTATTTATCTAAAACTTACAGCACTATTAGTAACCATTTTAGGATTTGTTATTGCCATAGAACTAAACTCAATAACGCTTTATCTTAAAACCAAAATGTACTCAAACATATCAAAATTTTCAACCTTACTAGGCTATTTTCCCCCTATTATTCACCGACTTAACCTTCACTTCAATATTATCATAAGCCAAAAACTTTCATCAACTCTATTAGACCTAGTCTGATTAGAAAAAACTATTCCCAAATTTACCACTAATTTTCACTCAACAGCCTCTACCATAGCCTCTAACCAAAAAGGCCTCATTAAACTATATTTTCTATCATTCCTAGCTTCAACACTCCTAGCAATCATAACCATATTCTATTTCCATGTGTAATTTCAATCACAAGAAAAATACTAACAAACAATGATCAACCAGCCACAACCATTAGTCAACTTCCATAACTATATATAGCTGCCACCCCTATTGAATCTTCACGAATTAACCCCAATTCATCTCCCTCAAACACTGTTCAGTTCTCTGAATCCTTAAACTCAATTACAATTTCTATTTCATCATACAAAACTATAAATATGACAATCATGAACTCCACTAAAAATCCTAATAATAAAACCCCTCAAATGACTACATTTGATCCTCATGTTTCTGGATACTCCTCTGTTGCTATAGCTGTAGTATAACCAAACACCACCAATATTCCTCCTAAGTAAATTAAAAATACTATTAAACCTAAAAAAGACCCCCCAAAATATAACACAACCCCACACCCAATTCCCCCACTAACAATTAATCCTAAACCTCCATAAATAGGAGAAGGCTTTGAAGGAAACCCTACAAAGCCTAAAACAAAAAGTATACTTAATAAGTATGGAACGTATGTCATTATTTTTACATGGAATCTAACCATGACTAATGACATGAAAAATCATCATTGTTATTCAACTATAAAAATGTTAATGACAAACACCTGCAAAACCCACCCTTTAATTAAAATCATTGACCACTCTTTTATTGATTTGCCCGCACCTTCTAATATTTCCACATGATGAAACTTTGGGTCTCTACTAGGCCTCTGTCTAGCTATTCAAATTATTCAAATCCTTACTGGATTATTTCTAGCAATACACTACACATCTGACACCATAACGGCCTTTTCATCAGTTACTCACATCTGCCGAGATGTAAATTAAGGCTGACTTATCCGCTATATACATGCTAACGGCGCATCAATATTTTTTATCTGCCTCTTCCTTCACATAGGCAGAGGGTTATACTATGGCTCATACACCTACTTTGAAACATGAAACATTGGAGTCATTCTCCTATTTGCAGTAATAGCCACGGCATTCATGGGCTATGTTCTCCCCTGAGGCCAAATATCATTCTGAGGAGCAACTGTAATTACTAATCTTTTATCTGCTATTCCATACATCGGTACAACCTTAGTAGAATGAATTTGAGGTGGCTTCTCAGTCAACAAAGCTACTCTAACACAATTTTTCACATTCCACTTTGTCCTTCCGTTTATCATTGCAGCTCTAGTTATGGTCCATCTCCTTTTCCTCCATGAAACTGGATCAAACAACCCCTCAGGCCTTATTTCTGACTCAGATAAAATCCCCTTTCACCCGTATTACACTATTAAAGATATCCTCGGAGTTTTTCTTCTTATTCTAGTTTTAATAACCCTAGTTTTATTTTCACCAGATCTTCTAGGAGGTCCCGACAGTTACATACACGCAAACCCCCTAAGCACTCCACCCCACATTAAACCAGAATGATATTTCTTATTTGCCTACGCTATCTCCGATCTATTCCCAACAAACTAGGAGGTGTTTTAGCCCTAGTCTTCTCAATTCTTATTCTGATACTCTTTCTATTACTCCATTTATCTAAACAACGTAGCATAATATTTCGGCCATTAAGTCAGTGTATATTCTGAATCCTAGTAGCAGACCTATTTACACTAACCTGAATCGGAGGACAATCTGTTGAGTACCCATTTATTATCATTGGTCAACTAGCATCAATTCTATATTTCGCTATTATTCTCCTAATTTTACCAACTGTCAGCCTAATTGAAAGTAAACTTCTTAAATGAAGAGCTCTAATAGTATAAATATTACCTTGGTCTTGTAAACCAAAAATGAAGTTATAAACTTCTTAGAGCAATACATATCAGGGAAGAAAACAGACTTTCCACCTTCAACTCCCAAAGCTGATATTTCTTACTTAAACTATTCCCTGCACTCGACTAGTTGCTTAAATTT